GCCAGCATTCAACTTTTCTCAGAACTTTATCGATCTTACACATCTTTACTTTTTTATAATTCCTCAGGTCTTTCGCTACGTATTTATACATTTTAATTGTTCCCAGCTCTGCAACCCTTGGCAATGATTCGACTTTATTTGACAGCATTCTAGGAGCCTTTGTGTCCCAAAACCTCCATCGAATCAAACAGGCATCACTGTCGAAACTCAGACAACTTGGGCCATGGACATAGATTGTGAATGTGAGACATGCACATGGAAACTAAGTGATTACCGAGACATCAGTGAAATATAATGGTCACGCTCCAAGTTTCTGGAGACTTGATCGTTTCACCTTACTGTCACTCACGTATAAGTTTAGTAAATTCAGAATCGCAGCTGAACGAACAGATAAAGGCTATCTCCTGCTACAACTGTGCTCAGATAGTCACCTATTTCTGGTCAGCAAGAATTCTAGACAAAAAGATGAACAGTGTCTGATATGGCGTCTACCGAAATGAAGTCGACGGTGGATACAGTTATCGGTTATCGCTGGAGAGCGTCGATGGACGAGTGCCCTCCGCTTAGAGTACGTATTTGAAGAATGGTCGCACTTTGGTTTGAGCACCCGTCTGTCTTCGCTTGAATGGACGTAGAAAAACTGCATCCACAAGACAGTTTGGTGTGCAGCTCGGTGATAAAAACACCAAAGCTGTCTAAGATATGGAAGTAATAGGGCCGTTATTGGGACAGGATAATATTACTCCTGGTATCATCTGCAGCCTACTGTGCAAGCAGCGGTAACCATTAAAAGTGACACTAGGAGAAAAAATGATAGGGTCTGTGGACCTCAGACACTTCTCCTAAACTAAGGAATGCACGTGAACACACCCCTGGATTCTCCTAGCATAATGATGATGATGAGCAGCTCAAAGGCAATCGATTAATAATATAAGAGTAAAAATTGGGCACTGGGGTAGATTGTAATTTCATTTATTTATTTATTTGAAATGTCGTACAGTGATACAGTATCATCTACTGGATAACGTTTCGGACACAATTTATTGTCCATATTCAGTAGTGTCCGGAACGTAATTCAGTAAATGATACCGCTTCAGTATGTGAGATTTCTCATAAACAGACTAAAGTGGAAAGACTAAAGTTATTAGTCTTCTCAGTGACTGCGAGCACTGGTGGGTGGAGAAAGTGGAATAAATAAATAAACAGCGGCGACGTGTAACATTATGCAGTTATTAGGAATTATCATTGAAACGGATGCAAAATGATCAGTAGTAAGTGTGAGAACAGCGAATAAGGATGGATCCACGGTTCAGTTGGAAGGGTGACCACTGGAAAGATGGGTGGACTATTTGAAACATCAGTTCAGATGACATTCACTTATCGTTTCGATTTCTGATATTGGGTCAGATTTTAAGTAGAATATAGGAATAGACCTCCTAATGCTTGCAGAAATTGAAAAGGCTTTAAGATAAGTGGTAGGGGGAAATATTAGAAGGGCCAGATGAGCTAGTATTTGCGGCATTTAGATACGTTTGACAACGATTGCTTATTAGGTCAACTGACGTTTAAGCTCTGCTATGACAATCAGGTATTACTCTTCTTTGACTGGTCTTAATCACAGTATCCTAGTCTTTAGGAAATTCTACGGTGATAACCAAAGAGAGACTAGTCTTATTGATAAGGTATCCAATATCCCTGAGTTCTATTCTAATCCAGAGCTTAAGTGGCACATAGGAACAGTAAACCCAAGAAAACCAGGCTGGTTTTAGATATGATCTTAGGTGTTTCGGTTAGTTATTCACCTTCTGTCACGTCTTGGAACACAGACGTGTACTGACGTTCATCACTATCTGCATTTCTTGACTTGAAGTTAGTATTTGACTCTGTCGATTAAGAGGTCTTATGACAGTGTCGATCCTAAGAAGCGAACCTAAAAAATGCACAGCCGTACTAAACTCTATGTATTCAAATACCTGTGGTCATTTTACAGCCTATGATGAGGTATCAGAGGAGTTGCACACATCGAGTGATATCCATCAGTCATGCTCAATCTCTCAACTATTATTTAATTTTGTCATAGACCTACCTATACAGGTTTCCCTGTTGTCATCCAACTCTATAGGAGCTGACCTGGTTACGGGAGACTCTTCAGCAGATCTAAAGCACGCAGATGGCACAGTCCTGACAGGAGTCTTTCCGTTACCTTGAGTGATGATTTGAAAATTTCTGAGACGCGTTACCTAGCCCCAAAATGGAAACATTTTCTTTCGGACTGGTCTGCACGACTGCTCCGCTTAACAACATAGACTCAAACGGTCTAGCATATCTTCCATTTTACTTCGTTGGGAAAAATGAGCAGTCCTGTTAGGCCAATCACTGACGTCATTTCTTCACGGATACAAAAGGCTCTATCAGTCTTTTAACACTTGTGCTATTAACGTCACCACCGTGATATCCAATATCTTATTACAGACCAACTGTACTTCGTTGTGGTTTGCTCTGTTGTACTACGTGATCGTGAAACGGCTATTAAAAGTATAAAATATGAAGAGACCCCAAATATTCCACCAACATACCCTTCATAGCGTAGGCTGTGTCACGAAACCACCACATCCGTAAAGTAAAAGTCAGGCGTGGAGTCATACGTAGAAGTATTTCGTTTAATGAAATCTCAAAGCTTCATCGAATGAGGTGGCTGGGCATGCGTAATCCATGCCTAGTCATAATCTTCCCATTCTTGTAATTTTAACTGAAATAGGTTCAGGTTGAAAAAGGGTAAAAAGCGGTCAAAGTAAAACATTGCACCAGTCCATGAACTGTTCGACTGTTTTTCAGAGCCGGGTAAGGTAATTTAAACTTTCAGATTGTGGTCTACTGGATAACTGAAAACTGTAAATGGATACTTTAAACGATACAGTTTGGAATTAATCTCTGTAGCACAGGTACATCCAAACATTATGGTCATCTTAATCATCATACATAGTTTCATTATGGTTTTATTTCTTCTCGTTCTTGCCTCATGACTTTCGATGATTTCATTTCTTCTGATTTCCTTGTCTTTCATCATTTGGCCTGCTTTCATAACAACTGAGGTCAGAAGTGAAAACTCTAGCTTTTTCATAGTAACTTTTGTTTCCACGTTTATTCTGACTGATTTACCTCCTGCCTACATTCTGGAAAACCTAGTAGCACTGACAATTTGAAAAGATTCAAAATCTGTAGTATTCTGAGCCCACTGTTAAACATGCATAGCAGAACCCATCGACAGGTATGCATAACATCTGTTGTGTTTCTTCCAAAAAGCATTCAAGGCATCCTGATTTAAATAAAAAGGTGCACAAAGCTTCAAATACATGTCCATAAAGTCATATATAGTAAAGAGATCAGAAGAGACTGCACTACTGACTATGTGTCATTAACACTGAGCAGGAATTAGTGACGTGTTCAAACCATATCAAGAGAAATCTGTTTCAGTTTTGGATGATTTATTATCATCTACTCATAGTGGATAGATGAAGTGGAATTTCGGAGAATAATTGTCTTACAAAACGATTAACTAAATAGCATAGTCTTTGCTTTCTGCATTATTATAGTAGCTAAGTCACGTCTGTAAGCTTTTCAAAGGTTATATGAACATCTCTTTTCATTTGTGTGGGTGTCATGAAAGTTTTATCGTTCTTTGCCCCAAAGGCACGCAATCATGCTAAAAGTATAAGACGTTCACTGTGCAAACGGCAGATATAAACAGAAAATTTACTGTCATATGGTACGCACCTTGTAGTTGCAACGAATTTTCGTTCATTTTTCTCACCATCTCATATCATATACTGCATTTCACTAGCAGTAAAAGTTTGTTACATCTGTTTGGATGACGTTTGAAATTATTAGGAGTATTGTTGAACAATTAAATTTCTGCTAGATATGAGTATCTCGGAAACATTTACCAGTATTTCATTTCATTTCAAAGCAGTCGAGGTATAAATACGCATCATATGTTAATTCTTACGTCAGCAAAAAATCTCCAGGTTTCAGGTGTTAAAAGTTATATTTTTATCTGACATCAATAACCAAATTTAAACATTAATGAGTCAGAAAGCTCATGCGTCAATAAGAGGTTCACTGAGGCTACCGGTGTCAATCAACTTATTCAAGGAGGCTGGTCACTTGCAAATTTTCATTTACTCTATAAACAACTTCATCACTGACCAAACAAACTGTCGTTCAGTTATTGTTCAACTGGATTGTAATTATTCAAATATTTTAGGCTTGTACATTAGGTTCAGTATGATATTTCCAGAAATTATTTGAACCTTTGAACTATTCACGTGGATTACACCATCGGTGTAAGTGTCCAACGTACCGGTGAAGTAACTACCGACAATCTTCGTATTAAAAGCTTTTAACCTGATGAATTAAAGCCACCTGGTACTTTAGTGACCTACAGAACACTATCGGTGTAAGACTTGGGGTTCTTCATCGACTTATCGAATAACATTTCCTCGTTAAATTCGACCACATGCGCTTGGAATACATTACGCAATATATTACTCAGTGAACTGACATACATTACAAATTTTCATTCCTTATACTCTTTGTTTAATCGCAAGTACATATCAGCGGATTTTATGGCAGATACACAACTGAGCAAAAGTGATCATACAATGTGTTAAGGTAATTTTAGAACTTTAGTTAAGTTCTATTTGTATTAGTCAGTTTATGTCCATAGGGTCACGGTTAGAGTCTGAAATAAACAAACATGTTGTTTCATCCGATTATAAAGTTCAAGCTGTGCTGCTTCTATCAGGAATCCCAATTTCCAAAACCTGTGGGCCCTTTGTGGCCGATAAACATACTGCGGAGACTAACTAAATCGCTTTCTATATCTGAAGAAACATTTTCTGTCCGTAGCAATTGCAGGGTTCCCTACTGATAAAACTTTTGTTACCATTATTGCAGAAATACGTAGTTTCTCTAAAAAAAAACTACGGCTAAAGCCACTACTCCCTTCGAATATTATGACAATCCAGCCAACTCCACTGTATCGTGATGTGTAGATTTCTTAGACAGAAACTCATAGTGTACTGAACTAAGAATACTGTTGTCCCGTAACTTTATATTTAAAAATACGTTTTGTATTTATCAGCACTGGTGTGACATATATTTCGATGTCTTTCAGTTACTTCATCCAGTTAAGCTTATCACTATGAATAATTAATATTTGTTGGCGTAAAGTGTTTTTGACTCTCCCATCAACACTTATTGCAACCTGTTCGGGCCTATTGTAAGGAAGAAAATGACAAAAATGACGAAAGAAGTTCCTACAAAGAGATGTATTAAAGGCAGTTAGGAGATAACTTTTGATAAATACTATTCAACTGTCTGTCTCAAAAGGAGTCTATCTCAAATTAAATTTCTAATTCAGATAATTTGAATGACTATTCTGGGCCATTTTTAATCCACCTACCACTAAAGTCTCAAGAGCTCATTGAAGTGCCTCATTAATGAAATGTTAACCTGAAATATTGGGTTATGTACAAATTTATTCTCAACCTGAAGATAGTAGAAATCAAACCTCTGACAGTAGAATTGATGACTGCATCTTTTTATTCGCCAGGAAGTTCAAGTGTTTTTCTTGGTTGCAAACGAGAAATGATATGCACATGAATTGTATCGATTTGATCTTCACACTGACTAGAATAAGCATGACACTAGGTAAGATGGTTAAACTTGTAGTACATTACTATGCAATCATTCATACTACCAACTGTAAGACTGTCTTTGTAATTTGACTTGTCTACTCTTTACTGAATCCAGTGCATGTCTTAACGCATAATTGTTTCATATTTGGAAAGTAACTCTGAAAATAGGTTGCGTTGTTAGTAAGCTTAACCATTTTATTATTCTGGTAACTGCATTTTATAGTTAATACTTTCTACAAAGTCAAAGTCAATGAGTTCTGATTAAGGTTTTCAAAATCTGGTGGTCGTTGTATTCAACTAGTAAGTCATCCAGTAACAACATTAAGAGTAGGAAAAAGTCCAAAAGGGCAATTCTAATGAGACCACAAAATGTAGTTTTATTTCAGACCACTCAGAAACAATAATATAGTCTACATTGTGACTGTAGTAACAATAACTTTTACGTGAATGATCTATGTTGATTGTTATTAACAGATTACGTCTGAACTAGGTGAATAACATAGTCATACTTGATTTCCCTACTCCCCAATATTCATCGCAGAAAAAGAGACTGATTGGAATACCGTTGATATAAGTGTGAAATTTGTCGGCTGCAGCGGATTTAAATTCCAGTTTTAGTTTGTACTTTGGGCATATCATGCGGTAAAAGGTTAGACAGTATATCAATTTGCGGACAATAAGATAAAATCTTGAATATTACTGACTAACCATAAACGATGAATAACGTTTCTATCTTGATTGAAAATCACTCGTTAAACCGAAAGAAACGTGGATTGATAGACAGTCGGCTTCTATTCTGTTCACTAAGAAGCATTTCAGAAGCAAGTAAAGTAGTTCGCGATAGAAAATAATTTCAAAATACCAAGGTAAATATCGACGCTACACTGCTATTTGACATTTTTGTGAATTATTGAATAATTTCGTCTAAGCGAATAGAAATGCCAGTCACAATCCAACCATCATTTTTTAAGAAATCCTAAAATGAATCTATTTCAATAAAATCTCTTCAAATTCATAGAAACCAACCCTTTGAACGGTTTTACCCAGTTTACAACATCAATAAAATTTTAAATGGTAAGCACTTATTTTTGGTGGGCGAGGCTAAAAGTTATCTCCATGTGTTTTCGTATTCGTCAAAGTTTATAGAGTTGTTTGTGAAATAAGAGCATTTCTTGTGTCCTATATAAATATTTCACTTATCTGCTTAGTTTTTATGATACCATCGGTCGCTAAATCGTGTTTCAAACCGTTCATTTATGTGAGAAGTGTTGGCTAGACTTCCATTTCTTAGGAAGGGAAGTAAACACAGTTATTCAGGATGAATAATGCTCACAGATCACAGTGAGGCTTCAAGTTATATCACTTCACCTACGCATCTCGATGAACAAACTTTTGTCGTGGCTAACAGACATCAGGAAACATTAACGATGTAGGCTGGCTGTTTTTCACATAACGACAGATTAGTACAAGTTGACTGAATAATCAAGAACGCCCAGTCGTGAATGACTTCCATTGTTTTGAGTCAATTACAGGAGCAAGATGTTTAAAAAGCTCGTTGTTTTATATGTTTCTAATGTGACCGCACCCATCAATTAAAAATTCCTTGAAAATATGACTAATTATTAGAATCAACTAGTTACCTGGGAATCGATGAAATTCAGGATCCTTTAAATTAGCTACGTACCGATGAAGTCTATCCGGTCACCAGTTCTTACAGAGAAGTATGAGTCTAACGTAACCAAAGTAATTTCCAGCAATACTATTTTAAGTTCTAGAGCCCACTAAATACTTTTGATAGCTGAGTTAAAAGATTCTGCCTTAAAACGAAATTCTACATATAATTTCAGTTTCAAGTGATATTAATAACAGACACTAAAACTTTGGTCCATCAGCCTATTAAACGTTTTTAAAAGAATGACTAAGTCAGTAAGCTTCATTCAAGTAACCTTTTATTCATTTTCAAAAATGGATTCTGTCAAATCTCAAGTTCGTAAATCCATTTAAAAAGATTCGGAAGTGTGGTTTATAACTGTCTCTTTCTCCAACTTTAGGTTGCAGTCATTCATTACCATGACAAAACCCTGGACGTAATATCAAGAAATGGGTATAATGTAGTAATCTAACTTTTCCGATCAATATTTCGTGAAAAATGTACTTGTTTTGTGTATACCCAAAGATTTATTACTTCACTATATCGAACAGTTGATGGCTTACATTAGTCTAATCAATTATCATAAGAGTAATAAGAATCTATAAAACTGAACTTAAGGGAATTAAGATGAATAAATGCTCAGTCCACTAAATGACAATTGTAAAAAGTGGTTGTAATTGTTCAATTTTGTAAATTCTATGCAGAAAATATATGGCAGTTAAAATGAAAATGTTCTGAAGAGACGATATTTTGTCTATCTTCTGCACAGCTGTTTATCTTTAAATAGTGGAGACAACAGAATATTTGACCGGATTGATGAAACAAAACTGAATTTGTATTTTACAAATTCTCAGTGCATATCTTACCAACTATAAGGTAAATTAGGGAGGCTAACAGTTTTTGGAGATTTGCAGATGACAAAATATTTACAGATCAGGATGAAGATTTGATGGTGTTGTGTTCTCTGAGCTGAGTGGTTCAACCGTGAATCTCTAGACAGATCATCAGCCCAAACTTTAGAAAAATTTGATACTGAGTGATGACTGAAGACAGAATGGAATTCAAACCAGTGATCATTGGGTTTCCAGCATGGTGTTGTACCTACTGAGATACGAAACTCGACTGCTGACCAGGGTTCGAATCCTGCCACGGCTCAGATTTTGATTTCACATTCAGTCATTACCCAGTATCACTAAAAGTCAGCCAAACCATGGCTATTTCAAACAGTCAAACTAACAACTTTGAATTTATTCAAAGAAATACCTTCCCGAGAAACTTATGTACTGAATTTCAGCTAATTATTCGGACAGTATAAATTACGCTCCACTGTAAGGACATTTTTTGAACTAATCAATGAAAATATTTCTAAATTTAGAGGTTTTTTGCTACTATACATCCTCCAATGCTGGTTGTTATTGACTCATAAAGTATTTTTGGCAATAGGAAGTGGGATAGCGTTTTATGAACCAACTTTCATAAAATTAAGGAGTGATTGTAAAGACCACCCTAACAACTGCTGAGATAATCAATTACCTTCCTCTATTCTACGAGAAACTTTATTTTCAGTCGAAATTCTGAAATTTGATTGTTAGCTTACCAGTCACTAAGGTGGCCTCTAAATTTACTCTTATTCGAAGGTTCATGGTTGACAAATTTAAAAGATCATTTTTGTCTGAGAAGTGTTAACTAATAGGCTCACTATGATCATTTAAAGAATGAGCAATAATTTTTAGTTGCCATTCTGATGTCTTTGTGTAATATATTTCATGAAACAGCTGTTGCTGAAGGACTGAGTATTGTAAAACATTACATATATTAGCTGACAAGAGATTCCGTTTATAAAATAGCAGGTGCATTTTCAATTTTTATTGCAAAGGTATCTAGTGATAGACAACTTTCTTGTTGACTAAAATTTGGCATGAATAACTACTACTGACTTTCTCCATAGTTGAATAGAAACACATTTTCAACTGCTTCATAATGTAACACTGTATAAATTTAGCATTTGGTCAGTGAGATCAAGAAAATATGCGTCAGAGCTAAGATTAATGAAAGTTCTGTCAGTAAGCGAAATCTGAGTATCACCGTGGGCTACTTTGATACTAAAACAATAGCTAAAATTAACTTATATGTCTCAAAAAACTAGATACCTGAGTTTTATGGAAATATAATCTTAGTTTTACTTTTAGTGTTTGACGATAGTTTTGTTCCCAAAAATAAAGAACATCGTTTTACTGACACTTTTCTGGAAACAAGTGTACATTATCAAAAATAATTTGACACTGGTCAGTTATTTGATGATGGTTACTACCTTAAATTAAAATCCCCATCAACCTCAAAGTAAATTACTGTATAGTGCTCATTAGTGACATACTTCCAGATGGATATATCACGAAGTTCTAATGAGAAGCCGTGAACAATGGGGTCAACCAGTCGGAAGTAAAGCGGATGCCAGCCGAAGACTATTGGTTGATAGTTGATAGTCACACTATATCGTGAATCGATAGAAGTAGGAAACTGTGAACTACTGAGTTCCAACCCAGTGACTGAATGATTGACGAGCTCGCCGTGAAACCTGAAGGTCTTTGGTTCGATTGTTAGCCGGGTAGTGGGTGTGTATTGTTGAGGAGTCCCATACTAGTATGAAACAGCTGTCTGGTGGTCACAGGTTTCCAACGGTTGCCTAACTGATGTCATTCCGTAATGAGTACTAACCTGGAGTTATTTTTCTATCGTAATCTTCCTATCAGTGGCTTATTCGTTTTAAATAACTGATTCTTATTGAAATTTTCACTGATCGGATGTGATACGCTAAGCGATTTACTGTTGTCTGAGCTTAAATTAAAATCAAGTATTAGTGATGAGTTTTAATTTAAGTGGATGGACTCCATACTACACTTGACACCAGTTTCATGTTGAATACCTA